ACTGAATGAGAGTTCAATAGGGAAAAGGAGCAACCTTGATGTAGGAAATAACCAAGCAAAGATGATCACTCTCAATTAAAAGTGAACCAATATAGTCAATAGATTAACAAGAGTCTGACAATCAACAGTAGACATGGACAAAAATGACTTAGCAGGGAGAGTCTTGCATTTGTTTACACAGAACATTAGGGCAGATGCAGCAAATACTGTGGTTAATAAAGCAGTTGGAGTTATGCAGCTGCTGTGTTATTGAAGAGTTACTGTAAATAAAAAAATGCTGCGTAAGCAGGAGGTGACTGAGAAAAACTAGAACTTTTAGACATTTCTGTTGTAAATTCATTGTATGCAAAACTTACTTTCATAAGAACAGACTCTGATAGCTTTTCTCTGTTAATTAGTTTAAGAATAGCTATCTCTCTCTCCACCTGCAGAAACGGGGAGAGCGAGGAACATTGAATGAGAGCTGAATAGGGAAAAGGAACAACTTTGATGAAGGAAATAACCAAGCAAAGATGATCACTTTCAATTAGAAGTGAACTAATATAGTCAATATATTAACAAGAGTCTGACAATCAACAGTAGACATGGACAAAAATGACTTAGCAGGGAGAGTCTTGCATTTGTTTACACAGAACATTAGGGCAGATGCAGCAAATACTGTGGTTAATAAAGCAGTTGGAGTTATGCAGCTGCTGTGTTATTGAAGAGTTACTGTAAATAAAAAAATGCTGCGTAAGCAGGAGGTGACTGAGAAAAACTAGAACTTTTAGACATTTCTGTTGTAAATTCATTGTATGCAAAACTTACTTTCATAAGAACAGACTCTGATAGCTTTTCTCTGTTAACTATCTTTATGGCCACCTTCTGTCCTGTGATACAATGAATTCCTAACTTCACCAGACCTGCAAGAGGAACACAGATGGTCATTCTTCATAGAAGCATTTTAAAAGTGGACAACATTAAAATCTAGACGAGATGCACTTGTAAAAACGGAAAAGTAGCTTATGAAGCTAGCCATAAAAGTAGCCATAAACATATGGCTGCAACTTTCAGACTGCACAATTTTAAGTAATCAATTCCCATTTCCAAACTATTACACTTGGAAAAAAAGCAGCACTAACAAAAACACTATGAATTATGCACACTCCAAAAAAAAAAAATCCTAAAAACACCAGTACATACTGCTCATATAGACAGTCACATAAATCGTTAATGGACACCCTCTTTTACTTGCCAAAAAACAGTCTACTTCCTAATGTATGTAGATCTATATCACTCTTGTGCACATTCATATCCTATTTACAATGTACTGACAAACAGGATCTGTCTGGCCTTTGCGTTTAGAACAGATCGGGGACAAGCAATTGTTATACCTTAAAACTAACTAGTATCCAGGTTTACAATGACTAGTACCTTTGTTAATAACTAGTAATCTAATAGAGATTGGAATCATTTTCAATTTTACTAGTAACATTTTACATTAGTATATTACTTATACTAATTTCTTTACTAGTTGCTTTACCTGTTTCATAGTTACTGGTAATAAATTGCAATTTGTTGCAAATCTTGTATGTATTTAAGTTGTTACTTGTTTCATTGAACTAAAGTAACTGACTAGTCATTACCAACAACACGGTAAAAATTTAATATCTAGTGAGAAAAGAAATGTTACAACAGTTGGGGAAGTTTCTAGTTTCCCATAAATATGCACCAATATCAAATAAATGAGCACTAGCAAAACTACTAGAATAGATATACTAACTATTGAAATAACTAATCAGGACTAGAATCTATTGAACAGTTACTAGTAAAACTAGTTCCAGCTACAATGGTAATTGAAAAGTTGAACCACAGTTTCCTTTAGAATTCAGTGGCAAATTGTGCGATTTGTTACAAGTAACAATGGAATATATGTCTGTCTCTAATGCAATAGCAAAAGTGTAAGTACAAGTAACTAGCAACCTGGAATAACTGAATAGATATGCCTAGGACAAGTACTAGCATCGTTAGGGTATTGAAATTGATAGTCACTATTTTATAACAAATATAAACATAAATATACATTTAAAAAAAAAACAGATTGCAATCAAATTCAGGCTTTGAAACAGCACGAATGAATCACTGCCACTCATGACTCAAAAATAAAACGCCAGAAAGATGAAAAATAATCTTCCTCCCTCAAACACTGGCCTGTCACTTGCCTCCGTGCCTCATTACATTTCATCAGCTGAAACACCCCTGCACATCAACCTTTCAACAGATTAATTCTTTAATGAGACGCGCGAAGTAGAGCAGAATTTATTCCAATGCATTAACTGAGTGCTAATATCCCAAAGAGGAAATGCTCTTACCTGTCTGGCCCTTCCCCAGCGTCTTTTCCAGTCGGTAGGGCCCGACATACTGAGCTGCCTGACTCCCCGACAACTCCTTACTGGACATTTCGTTCGACAGAGCTTTTGTGTCACAATATAAGCGGGTAAATCAGTGTATTTTCACAATGTATCCACCGGTGCCTGTCCTGCTCACGTAATAGCTCCGCCGTACAGACATCACAGACGGTGAGCGATGACACAGGGATGCTGAGGCGTGCTGTCAGTGCCGTGGCCTACTCCCAAACATCTGCCGTCTCCTTAAAGTTCGTGGAAATGGATCGGTAACATTTTCCGTTCGAAAATATCAAAAATAAACAAGAGTTGCTTGTCCAGCCGAGCCTATACGCCAAACTTCAGCTGTTATTGCGATTTAAACGGCCTGTGGCTGCTGTTGGATGAATGATGAGGGGACACGATTAAATCTGGGCCGATAGGCTACTATATGACTACATCAGATAATAGCTGTGAATGACACCAAAATGATTATGAATATAGAAGACAGGTAAAGATAACAGGAATAATAGGCAGCCTGGTTCAGTCATTAGTTTGTTTTCGCCGGTATCTTTTCTTTAAAACTATATTCATATAGACTCCCGTTGTTGCCAAACTGCAAGTGACCTATTTATTAAAAACTTGGCCACATCTATTCTGAGAAAGAACCGCACATCCGGTTTGTGACAATTTATACGTATTATTCTGTCTAAGATTAAGTGAATCTTTCTTTTGTCACTGACTCTTCAAAGTGTTTCGTTTTATTTTAATAAATGTTTGGATGTAAAGGATGAGCGTCCCGACGTGCCTGATATAAACTACTGGTATCTTCCAGGCCTCACATCCGGAAATATGGGAGAATTGTACGGGAGAAAACAGTCACCCTTTCGCGAAAGAAAGCCTCGGTGTCTTCCGTCACATGAATCCGCCAATTAATCCACCGGGCGCGTGCCAAGTGTACATTGCGCTTTTGTAAGCTGCAGTGTTTGCGCAGAAATCCCTTGCTTTATTCGTACGGAACACATTGCTGGTCAAAATACAAGCATCTTCTAACTAGCGTAGGAGCCTCCTCTCCCCCTCCCTTCCTCCCGCACGCTCGCGCTGGCTATGTGCACATCACAGCATCTTCTCGCGCTCTCCTCCCGTCGCCTCGGCTACCGCGCGTGGAGTCATTCTTTCGAGTTTGCGTTACAGTCGCTTGAAACCGCCTGACTTTAATCCGTTCGCTTCGGTTGCCTTGTGACCGCAAGGATAGCAGTCCCTCTGTCAGTGGGGCCTTTCTCTGGTTTCTAGCGTTCACTCTCCCTGTATTCCTTCTCCCCATCCGACACGAGCAGCATCAGCATCCGGGTTCTGCGCAGCTTGCGTCCCCTCCCTTACGCGACCCCCCCTCCCTCCATTTTTTTTATTAAATATTTTCTGATAATTTGTTATCATAATATTTATGGACTAGCTGCCTTATCTACATTGTATTTTCTTTTCTTTTTTTAACATTTTTTAAAAATACAACCACAACCTTGCAGGAATATCCATCTCTGATAGTTGTGTTTTTGCACAGTGGTTTTCAGTATTTTTATATTTACATGTATGCATTTAGCAGACTCTTATCCAAAGCGATTTACAGATCCAACAGTTTTCGTAGTTTGTTTAAAAAAAATGTAGATTAGAGGGGACAAGCTATAGCAGAGAAGAAAAAAAGAAATGTAAATGTAAAGAAATGCACTTTTTGCATACTTTCTATTGCTACAATTAAAGCACCATCCATGCAGTTCAATGTGTGAACACAAGGTGGCAGTAGAGACATAGACATAGGGCGTGTTCTGCAGGCAAGAAGTTGGTGAAAAATTTTCCCAACATAATGCGCATTTATTTGGGGGGTTTTATTTCTTGATCTCACCCAAAAACATTTGGCATAGCGAAATGTTGGGAGTATCTTCTAGTCCAATCTGTATCAGGCGGTCTTAGTCCAGACAGCAGGGGGCATTGTTCAAGCTCTTTGAGCTCTTTATTGGCCTATCTTTTGCAAGTGAGGCAGTAACTGTTCATATATTGTGTTAAAGTGCCTATATTATGTACATTGAGTAATTACAAGATTACATTTTTTTTTTTTTTTAAAGGTGTCATCTGCTAACAAAATTCAGGATTTCTAATTGTGTTATCTGACGGAGATCAGCAGACAGCGGTGATTCCTGCAGATTCACCTGGACATGCAAGTCAGCACTTTGCTATTATCCCTCACATGATGCTTCTCAAGGTCAAACGCATTCAGTGACCTTCCATACCAAGTTATCCCATATTCCTACCCGTCTGGCAGACCTCCAAGTAACAGCGCACCCTCCTCCCTTTATTTTCTTGGAGTCTTATTTATGACAACCGAAATATGTCCTCAGCAGGGAAGAGGCAGAAGGCCTGGAAACGCCTGGAAATGTGATAAAGCAGGGCTTAAGTGTAACTGGAAAACTTTTCCCGAATTGGGCATTTGATATTATGACAAGTAACTAATTCAAGTCAGAAAAAAATAATATGGTAATAAGTTTTATATAGCCTATTTTTTATTACATTTCAGGTTTCACATTTTACACTTTTTAATAATTTTAATTTCTATCACTCACTGCATGGGTACAAAAATTTTGCCTATTTTGCATACAGCAAACTGGTTGGAGAAATCCATTTGAGGTTCACGGGGGGGGGGGTCTCTGCTGCCCCAAACCCCATCATTTAGTCCAGTGCCACGAGCTGCAGGGAATGCTGGGAAGGTGGAGGACTCAGTGCAGTAAACCCCTGAAAACAAACAGAAATACAGAGAATCAAAAATCATACATTTCAAATGATAATGAAAAAAGTTGTCTTGATCATGAAGTTAACACAAGACAACCTTAAAACAAAGGGAGCATAACAAATGTGCTTAGGTTTAAACAGTTAAATTAACAGCTAATCAACAGTCACGGTGCAGCGAGATTGTAGTAAAGGGGCCCGAAGGCGGCAAATCCAAATTGGGTATTTATTCCACAAACACTGAAGAACAGCTCATCCACAAACAGCAGAACGTGTGGTACAGACAATAATAAGCAACCACTCAAACTGAAAGGACAGAAACTTAAAACAAAGTCCAAACTAACAGAAACTGTGACACTAATGTTAGGAATATTAAAACAAATGTTTTTTCCAGTTGACTTGGTTTCACTTGTTACAATAACAAACATTTGTTGACTGGATTAGTTAATAATACTTAAGTCAAATGAAGTAACGGTTGACTACAATCTAAAATAAATTTCAACAAGAAATTAATTGTCAAGTTAACAGAATTTTAAGGCAGTGAATTAAAAAAAGTGAAGTTGGCTCAAATTTTTACAGTGAAATTTAAATAATATTGTATTATTTTAAAATAAATATAATTTAACATTATAGTCTATGTTGGATATTTATTTTTGCATGCTTATTTCCCCCATTACATTTAGATTACATTTGCTATGATACAGTACTCATTCACTTATCTTTACATTTACATTTACATTTATTCATTTAGCAGACGCTTTTATCCAAAGCGACTTACAAATGAGATAAATAAAAGCAGTCAAAACTAACAAAAGAGCAACAATATATAAGTGCAAATGACAAGTCTCGGTTAGACTAACGCAGTACACGTAGCAAGGTGTATATATATATATATATTATACACACACACAAACACACACACACACACACACAAAGAAAAACAAGTAGATAGAATAGAAAAAATAGAATAGAAAAATATAAATATATATTTTTTTTATAAAAAAAAGAAGATAAATGTAGATAATGTAGAATTAAAATATAATAGAAAGTGACAGCTCTGAGCTTAGAATGATGCTCACGGAGAACATCAGATAGCCAAGGGGCAGAAGAGGTGATCTTTGACAACATAATTTTATTAAAACAGTTCAATTTAATCTTCAGCTAATCTCAAAACATCCATTTTCATGCTGTACATTGTAATGTTCCGTTGCCTTCACGTGATACATTTAAAACAATTAATTTAAATTTGTTGTGATTTATTTAATAAATATCAGCCATTTATTGGTTCTCACCCATAACATGGAAATAATGTTTTTTGTTTTTTTTTGCTATCTATAATATTTTTTTATATCTGTGCATCCTAAATTATTAGACTATACCAATCTTATGTGAAATACTGGGCTGTGTTTCCCGATAACGTTGTCTCTTAGCGCGCTACGAAGTCTCCAAAGGTATGCCTTAACTAAAGCTGTACCATTTCTAGGCGTGTTCCCCGAACTATACCTTAGGAGGCTGCTTAAGATATACCTTCTTACGTGCGACGTTACCAGGTGCTGTCCATGGCGGTGGTGCTGAATTGGTTGATATCGATGGCTCGAGAATCGATTATTCGTTCTATGCACAATCTGCTTCACTGCGTTATGTGAGAAAGCAGTGTTCTTTATAAAAGAAGTGTTGATTTTAAATAAAGACACGGAACCTTTTCCTGTTAGAATGCAAAGAACTTGCATGAAACTTTTACTTTCGCTTTGCAACATACATCATGTCAGGGAAGAAAACCAAAAAAGAAAATTATATTCCCAGAGCACCTCCCAGTGGTCACCACATAAAATACAAAGGAAAAAAACCTACATGAGACACTGCTTAATAAATTAACATCTTCTAACAAAAAAAAGAAAAAGAAAGAAAGAAAGAAAAAACTTAGGCCTACACAAGTCCAACAGAAAAATATTCTGGTAAGAGTGCTTTCCAACAAGAAGCACTTCAGTTCAAATTGTATTTATCAGGACTCATTGGATCTTATAAAAATAATCCAAATTGCAAACTAAATCCAACACTGGATATTTTATATAATTTCGAAATGAGTGCGTGAACCCGCAACCTCATGCCCAAACCTATCATGCATATAACTAACTGGCAGTATGCCTTCACTGGCCTTTGAAAGGGTCATTTATATTCTCATAATATATTTTCCATAGTGTCTTCATTTACTCCACAACCAGGGTTGACTGCCCAGCAGCCGCATAACATATTGGTGTAAATCACTCATTTCTGTTATTGGATGACTCAATAAAAACGCAACAGGAGAAACATATAATCAACAGCTAGTACTATTGCGGAGAAAAAGAGAGAAAGAGCCGCCAGCAGCTGAATATGTGTCGACAAAATTGGACCAACAAGATCTAAAAGCTGCTGAATTTGCTGCCGTGCCGGCGATTCTAAAGTTTTAGTGGACATATACACTATATGGCTCTGCGGACGGCATCATCTTTGATTTTGCACAACTATTATATTCGTATAAAATGAGATGTAAAGAACTGCGAACTGTCAAAAGTGATAAGGTATAGTTAAGAGTGGTCCAGACCAACCTTACGAAAGTATGACTTACAGAAGGTATACTTAACTAAGAATGTTTCAGGAAACACGTATTAACGATAAGGTACAGGTTAAGGTACAACTTAAGAACGACGTAGCATTAAGAAGGTTTTGGGAAACGCAGCCCTGACCAGTCAGCCATATTCACATTTAGAAAATAAAACAAAGTACATGATGCAAATGCTGAACTGACGTGAATAAAATACTTGTCTGATCAAGTAAAAGGGAATAAAGCAAGTGAATTGTGCATTACTTTTCCTGCATGCTAAGCTCCTCATGACGCCTCAGCGTTGCTCTTCACACAGGCGGCAAACGCCTCCATTAGCTCCTTACACGCTTCCTCACCATTCTCCTTTACACTGTAGCACACAGGAAACACAGTCATTACTCCAGCACACATATACACTGCTGATTCACATCAACATATCCCATATACAACACAAAAATGCAGATTTGTCCCTCTGAAGCACACAAGACTTCATGAAGTTTCTGTACCACACACTGTAAAGACATTACATAATTTTGGTTGTGTCTTTAGTTTTTGCAAAGTCATATAAAATGTGTACTCACAATAGGCCGGATTCTGCTGGGACTGAATGAGACGGTATGCATTTGTGCGAGTGAGATTATTTGAGCCTCTCTACACCAAACAATGGCAGACACTGCCACACTGCATTAGAGTGATGAAATGAAAACGAGGGTTGGAATGACAGCGCAAATGGGGGGAAGAGATGCAAAAAGAGGGCAGTGGATAATTCAGCTGAACGAGTGAAAGATAGAGCCCTAGAATCACGTGACAAAGCAAGCAGGTAATGGAAAAGAGACATACTGCTAAAAGAGGGAGATGTCGTGACTTATGAGGAAAAGAGTCCCTCCCCTGCATAGAAAATTATTTTAGTCTCTCCCTCCCCACAGATCATCTGCTGCATCTCGCATGGTGACTTAAGCGTGCTCTTCCTCTCTTTCTCTCTTTTCTCAGTGAGCGGTGATGTAACACACAGCTGGTTAATGTAAACATAAAGCGCCTTATGCAGACTGGATCTGATGAGCCACATGACGTAGGTGTAAGAATGTATGGGGGGATTTCACTAGCCAAGGGCATTTCCTCTTCATAGGCAGCCATTATAATACTAATACTAGATTCTTCTACTGGACAGTAATACTAATACTAGATTCTTCTACTGGACAAAAACAATTAGCGCTAGATTATGTCCTTATCCTCAACAACCAATAATTAGTGATCACAAAACAGTTTCAAGTCATCTGGAAAACCTCCCATGTTTTGGTCTGGAAGAATGATCAATTTAAAATCTATTTTTACAGATAAATGGATTTTTAAAATGTGTTAAACTCCTGGAAAACTGCATCAAATGAACCAGAACATGGCTGTGTTTAAAGATCTTTTGATTTGGGAGACAAATGTTGAAACACTCTATAGTATGTGGTATAAAACTGGCGGCAAAAGCACAGTCAATTTAAAAGCTAGTGTTAAAGGGATAGTTCGCCTAAACATGAACATTCTGTAATCACTTACTCACTCTCATCTTGTTTCCAAATTGTATGCCTTTCTTTCTTCTCTGGAATATAAAAGAAAATGTTTTGAGAAAGGGCTTTCTTTTTTGTTTCTTTTGGAAGTCAAAACTGGTTGGTTACCAACATTCTTCCCTATATTATCTTTTGTGTTCTGCAGAAGAAACGGTTTGTAATGACATGAGTGTGATTAAATGATGACAGAATTTTCATTTTTGGCTGAACTATCTTTTTAAAGATATAGATAAATTGATCTTAAAATGTGCTTCAAATGTGCATTAAATGAACCAAACCATGGTTATTTGCCAGTCAAATATTGAAATCTGTCAGTCTTGGAGGTGTAAAATTAAAATGATAGCAAAAAGCAACAGGCAAATGGGAAGGGGATGGTCACCTTCCCCAAATTTAGACTGAATAATTCACAAGATGGCCAGTCCTCCACATATATAATGCAAAACGAAAAAGGGCACGGCTCAGGAGTGCTCTGATCTTAAACACAACAAACAGGAAATAATTTTACTTGACCTTAAGAATAATTCAATTGGAATCAATAAATACTGAATCCATATGGAACTGATTTATTTCCACATGGAGCTCCTATAACAAAGCTATCCCATGTTGATAAACCAGATGCTTTTGTTTATTGATAGATTAAGTAACACTGTTTACCCTGAGGGGAGTTTCTAATAATGCATTCCAACCACTACAAGAGCAGGCATGCTAACACAAATGAGAGGAAAAAATCTGCTTAAAGTGGAAAAGATTAAATTGTAATTTGCATTAACATTCCTGAAAGGACACCCTATAGGACAAAATGGCTGTATGTTAACTCTGTGGCTAATGTTTAGTCACAGACTTTGAGACTCTAAAAAGTGGAGGACATCTCAAGGTCATAAGCTCACAGATTCACATTGCCAGAAAGCAGTAAAAAGAGATTTTACACATGTTCCACAACTAGCAACCAGATGCATCCTCTCATTGAATAACTGCTGGATTCTAGGGTTGAACCTGTAACATTAATCCTCTTCTGGTTTTAAAGCCCATGATGAATTCCTGTTTGTGAAGCAGCATGACAAAAAAAATAGACAAAATGGCCACTGTGACATACTTAGACCAGGTGTAAAGTGATCCAGTGAATATTACATGTCACACTGTATAATGGATGACAGACACACACATCTATGCAGTACCATGTACGACGGCACTATAAATACCAGTGTGGTGTACGTTACTTAAAGGTCGGCCTTCTGTAAGGTTAAACATTCAGCTAGTCAGCAACACATGCAAGTTGCTGGTCAAAGTGATTACAAAAAGGTCAATGACAAACTGACCTGCTAATAGTGTTTTAACTGTTAACAGTTCTGCCATTCCATCTTTTTCCCGCCAGTCTTCGCCATGTCTGTCCCTGCAGCCCCCCAGTCTTGCTTTGTCATTTTTGAGCGGTGGTTGCTCATATGAGAGGAAATTATTCATGTTCACAGATGCACCTGTTTCTCCATTTTCCCTGCCCTCCCACCAATCCTTTTTGGATTAGTGGATTTTGTTTGTTTTTATATTCTGTGAAGCAGTATTTCGTAACTCCAGACCTACGGACCCACCTACCTGAATGTTTTAGATGTCTCACTAATTAAAACACCTGATTCATCTCATCATCTTCTTGGTGTGTTAATATGGAGACGTCTAAAACATCCTGGGAGGTGGGTCTCAGGGACTGGAGTTGAGAAACACTGCTGTAAATGAAGGTGACCGTGATGGCCAGTGCTTCAGATGAACCAGTGACACATTATTCAACCAAATTCTCACCCCACACACCTTTCCCCTATCTGGTCCTTGCACACCAAAGGTCAGGGTATGTGCAAGCTTATCTGTTTCTCATGCTGCCCAGGCCTGTCAACACTACAAACACCAAAAGCAGCCAAACTACATTTTTTTGGGTGGGTGTGGGGATTAGGGTCAAAATGCAGTTTGAGCAATGGCTAGTGTCAATGGTCAAGAAGGAACACAATTAAAACCTACATAGAAGGGAAGACAGCATATTGAATGAATGTTCATCACTGGCCACTGGGCACAATCTCCTTCATTTGCAGGATATAAAACCAGCAAAACCTATTAGTGGGAGGGCAGGAAAAAACGGAGAAAAGGTTCATCCGCCATCATCAGTGATTCCCTCTCATTTAAGTGGTCAAAACTCAAACATGGCAAAGTGAGGCCAGGGAGGTAGCAGGAACAGAAATGGTGAAGACTGGGAGAGGAAATCAGGGATGGCAGAATGAGCGAGAGGAAAAGCACGATGTAGACACATTCCCAACAGCCAATCAGCCGTGAGGAAGAACTGAAGTTGAAGAAAAACCCCAGAATGCTCTTAATGAGCGGCCCCAATGATGCTGCCAACTCAGATCAAACTGACACCAATCAAACCATTTACAAAACTCAAAAAACGTAATCAAGTTACATCTTATTAAAAATACAGAATCCCTCTGCGCAAACCTTCCACCTCACATTTGACGGAAGGTCCTTCCTTACCTCCATTTTGGATCACCATCATGATGCACAATTTACATTGCGTAACATAATTCTACTGAATATCACCAATCCCAGCATGATTCTAACTAATTAAGAGCTACAATAAATTTATGTAGAAATAAATCTACATTTTGGAGCATAAGAATTTAACAAATTGTCATTCGGTCCATACAGAGATGCAACGGACCGGTATTATGGACCATACATGACTGCTACTCCAGACTGCTACTTACCATTTGTCTAAATCTGCCTTGATGGCCACACAGGGTGCTGGGACAGGGGTCTCGGCAGGAGCTGCAGTCTCTGAGTCTGACATGGTTCTATGGCGTTGGAGTGAGTGTATGTGTGCCTGCTCCGTGCGCTCCTGTGGTTATATGTGCAGGAGAAAAAGAGAGAATGGAGAGTTAGAGTTGGCAAGAGGGAGGGGGAGTGTACATAGTACACGGGGGGAGGAAGGAGGTGGGAACCGAACGTGAGAGGGCACATATGTACACGAGCAAGAGATCAAGCGGGTTCAACCTTACTCAGCACCAAAAAAAAAAAAAGCATTTTAAAAGTATGGTGCTTCAAATGCAAAAAGCAAGTAATTGTGCTTCTTTCTGCACCTAAACCAACAGTGTATAATGAAGTGTACTGAGACAATGGAAAGTATGCAGAGAAACTTAACTTGCATTCAACACAGAAAAGCTGCACTACTTCTTGTGTTATATCATGGATTGTGCATGGACGCCCCCTAATGACAACATGGTTTCATGACGTGCACCACTTTACACTTTTTTTTTTCTTTGTTAATATTTATTTTCATATAAAAGCAGTATCATTTAAATTACATCCAATTTCCTTTTTTATTGTTTTCTTAAAGATTTAAGTAACTACAGCCAGTGTGTAAACTAGAATAAATACAAAATAAATAAAATCGAAATATATAAACATAAAATGGTTAAATGAAAACATTTAAATTAACACATTTTACAACCTTCTTGTCTTTCTTGAACTTCTGCCTTTAAAATGAAAACAAAGGCTTACTTCCCCCATATTTACATTTGTGTACACTATTTAGAAGTAGCAGATTAATTAATGAATTAAAAATGAATACATTTTCATGAGTGAATATTTTTAAACAGTTCAAAGCATCACCACCAGCCACTTTAGAGCTCATCACATATAACTTTCCCTTTAAACTTTATTTTTTATTGTGAGTTGTGCACTACATTCACTAAACCCAAATGATCTTAATGGATATCATATATAGGTAATTAAAATACTATTTCTATATGAATACATTTTAAATTTTAATTAATATGCCATCCTTCAGCAGGTTTAGTTTAGTTGGTCAACAAGTTGGTCTCCCAGCCTGACCAGCTATATGGTGTTCAGACCAACCTGACTAGCTATAAGCTAAATCAAGAAACCAATTTGGCTTTCAACAGTTTTGCTGCCAGAATGATTAACCAGAGACATTGAGGGGGTCACATTTGAACCAATATTCACAATAGTGGTCACTTAATACAGGTTTTAATATAGTAACCTATATACATTTAGGTTTTCGAGAGAAAACTGAATAAAAAACCAAGATGTTACAACATACTTATTCATTCGACGGCAGATAAGATTCAATCATTGCTCACCGCCCCCTCATCTATTCTGTTCAAACAGTTTTACCCCTTCACAAAGTCGTAGACTATAAATCAGAAACATAACTTTAAAAAGCAATCTATCTAATCCTTTCAAAGGCGGTTAATAACTAATTTCGTAAAGTCTAAATGACATTTATGCACGCAGTTAGGGTTGGATGTAGGCCTATAACAAAAAATTGAAATTCCGCGGGACAAAATATGAGAACTAGGCTGTGTGTAAGTTTGACAAAATATTTATTAGAATAATTTGTAACCTCTTTATTGCAGTTTTATTGAAGTGTGTGTTTTGTATATATTTTTAAATGATTATTGCATTATGTTCTCTGAATAAACAAAATTATTATCAAGGCTAAAATGCCTGTAGCCTATCATTAAAGTCAAATTCGTGAAGTTTACCTATCTTTGTATTAGGCTACTTATAAAACGTAGCCTATCGATTAGGTCCGTGAGCAAATGGATACATTTAACTACAACAAAAGCATAGTTGTTAGTTACTTTCTAAAGAAAGTTGAGCTTGGCTAAGCATACCTGTCTGCATGCAAGCATACTTGGCTAAGCAAAACCTGAAGGAAGAAACGACTGAAAGCTGCACGCGCATCTGAAAACCACGGGGCTATTTAACGGCGACCTTCCGACTAGAAGAACGTCATGTTCTCTAAACAATCAACCCACATCCATATGCATTTACACTGCTGTCAACGAGCTAAAGTGCGGTTAATTAAATTAGCATAAAATGTCAACCAATTACTTATACCTGGGTCTGCAGTCCGGAAGGATCTGGCAAGATTTACCTGAAAAACAAAATGAATATTTTTGAACTGGAACGCGCATTAAGTAGCTACTGGATCCAGGCTCCTTCTCCTGGAGTCTTGAGGGAGGAGAAACGCCCTAATACAGCAGACAAGTGGGAATACACTACTATTCTCGCTGTAATGAGATTAGTCGTCTTTAAATACGTATGTTATAGCAGCGGGGATCTATTATTAACAGAGGTTTTAGGAGTTGGTCAAATTTAATTTTACAATGTATAGGTTCCCTGAAATAGCCTATATGTGAAATTTAAAAGTTCCCAAAATATATGAGCAGTTCTGGAAAGACTAAAGCCAATTTGAGGTAGCAGAATTAATGAATGAACCCTTACAAAACTTAACCATGGTTTTACTATATACAAAACCAAAAACAAGAACATGGTTACTAGTTAAACCATGGTAACCACAATTTAACCATGGTTTTGCTGCACTAACCATAGTTTAACCATGGTATTTGTAATAAAACTGTGGTTATACAAATGGTAATCAATACGGCAAAAAACAACAACAACAAAAAAACATGGTTACTACACTTTTACTATAGGCTACAATAAATCCATGGTTAATTTTAGTAAGAATGAATGACTCCATTAATGAATTAACACTATTACACAAAATGCTAAAGGCCTGCTATTTCAAGGCCCTGTAAGGTCACACACTGTAACTAACAATTAAGTCAGAAAAATGAAGGGAACAAGAAACTTTCGTAAGAATTGGGCTCAACCAGCACATTCAGACATAAATAAACAAGGAACGAAAAGAAAAGAAAGAAAAAGGGTTAAAAAGCTCTCAGTTCACAGCAGGACATGACAAATGAGTGTTTCCTCATTGCTGGGGGAAGGGTCTCTCATGTGTAGACTTTCTTTAAATGGCATGTGGCTGAGTGAATGGGTACACAACCTCCATTGTGAAGAAAAGAGCTAGGAAAATCAACCCCTAAATAACTTCTCAAAACTGTACATCTGTAAATAGCACATTTGCACATTCATAATTCTGTCTACTGGTATTTTTTCCTCTCTGTTTTTTATTACCATATAGTTATTATTATTATTTATTATTATTATTAGTGTTATATTTCACTTTATTGCCTTAAATTGTCTGTACCTTTTTTCTGCACTGTAAGCTCCTGTCTCCAAGACAAATGTCCCCTTAATTGGCAATAAAGCTCTTTCTGATTCTGATAGTGGTGCAGTCTATTAGAATCAACTTTAATAGTATAATAAATAAAAAGAAAACAGATAGAATACAAAAAGATTAGAAAGCAAGCTATAGTGTTAGTAGTTAGTAGTAGTTAGTTAGTAGTTTTTCATTCAGACACCCTGAAGGTCCTAAAATAATAGCATCACACAAAAACACACTTTTAGAAAAAAACAGTATAGGCACACAAATCATCTAACGTCACAAATATCATCTCTATATTCAAAAGTAATTCAAACGAAAAAAATTATGATTTCTATTTATTTACCTGGTACATCATCTGATCATCTGATGTTTGCGCTCTTGTATCCTGTATCTACTTAAATAGCTTATAAATATTGATCAGCCAAACCCTCACATCAATGTTTTTCATTAGTTTCAGGATTTAACTAATACACCTGGAGTGCAAGACTCATTGCATATGCAAATGAGAGGACCAAGAAGTGCAGGCCTATATAATGGGAAGAAAATGACAGAGAGCTCAAGAGAGGAAATCAGACTGCAAAGATTCAAGCAAGAGAATAAAGAAAACAGTTAAAATGACTCAAGGATCTAGACTATACTTTGCAGGTAAGCAAACCTTATATCTTTCTCAGACTAACCTTTCCCTGCCACATTTTACACTTTACCTCTCCTCCATTCCTCGTTACATCCCCTTTTCTGTTTTCTGTTCACTTCAGATTACCATACTGTTATTTTTGAACAGTTTCTTTTTCTTGTTGCTTTTCAGTGACTGTTCTGATGTGTGCGTTTGTCTCCATCAATGGTGTCGGTCTGAATGATTTACTGGAGCGAGCCTCTCAACTTTCAGACAAACTGCACTCTCTCAGCACTTCTCTCACCAATGACCTGGTCAGTACCAAACACCCTTGTAAACATGTGTTTATGTGGTGTTATATGCACAATCACTGGGTTATTTGCAATATGTGACTTCAGTATTATCCAAACAGATATTTATTTCATGGATTTGATTGGTTGTTAGATATTAACCTTGCTTTCATCCACAGGATTCTCACTTTCCTCCTGTTGGTAGGGTAATGATGCCTCGTCCATCGATGTGCCACACTTCCTCTCTTCAGATTCCCAATGACAAAGACCAAGCCTTGAAAATACCGGTAAGTAATTTTAACTCATCCATCTTCATCTCTCTCAAATGCAAAAATTCTTTCTCCTACACTCTCAGAAAAAAAAGGTATGAAAGCTGTCACTGGGGCAGTTTATTTTCAAAAGGTATACACTTTTGTATCTTTCATGCACTAATATCGACACTTTAGGTACTAATATGTACCTTTAAGGTACCAATATGAAAAGGTACCGCCCCCGTGACAGATTTCGTACTTCGTACCTTTATTTCTAAAAGTGTATTCCAGCTTTTTTATTATTCTGTTATTCGATTTGAACATTTTTATAATTACAAATATTATATATTATACAGCATAATTTAAATAAAAATATACATAATCATTTTTATTGTAAAAAAAAATATATATTACTAAATTGTTGTTATAACTATTATATTTTATATAAAACAAAATATACAAAAATACATAAATACAAAAACATGATACCATATGATGTAAATGTATCTATATATACTATAAATACTTTATAAAGCTTGCAAATATTTGAAGTTCTCATGTTTTTTTTTTTCATTCAGTCTCAATCCAACCTATTTTCTGCATATTTCACACAAAAATGAAAATTCTGTCATTTACTCACCATTGATCAAACCCACAAGACTTTAATTGATCTTCAAAACAAAAAAAGAAGATATTTTTAATGAAGCATGAGAGCTTTCTGTCCTTCCATTGAAAGTCCATTCCACCAAAACTTTGATGCTTCAAAAATTTCATAAAGACATTGAAAAAGAAATCCATATAAATCGAGCTGTTTAATCCAAGTCCTCTGAAGAGACGTCATCGCTTTACATGATGAACAGATTTAATTTAGGTTTTTATTCACATATGAACAATACTCAAAACACATACATAGAGCTAGAGCACATTAAACATAATACATATGAGCTCAACTGTACTTGCCTCTGTGACAAATCTCACTGGTTCTTGCAGAATCACAAATATGCTTGTGTGTAACCTCATTGGTTCGAAAGTCTTATGGACTTGGAACAACATGTATTTACATTTTTTTGAGGGCTGAACTTTTAATGTGAAGTGACAAACATCTCCCACATTTGTAGTTACAGGAAAAACAGACCAGTAGTGAATGAAGTTTTATCTGATTGTTTGTGCAGGAGGATGAGTTGCTGTCTTTGGCTCGGTCTCTGCTGCTGGCGTGGTCCGATCCCCTCGCCCTTCTCTCCTCTGAGGCGTCCAGCCTGGCACATCCAGAACGCAACACCATTAACAGCAAGACCAAAGAGCTGCAGGACAACATCAACAGCCTGGGAGCAGGTCTGGAGCACGTCTTTCACAAGGTGATTGCGCTTTAAAAGAACAGCTCACAGTACATATATTGTGAATGTTGATTGTAAGAGGGCAATATGGAGTAATTCAAAATACTGAAAGAAATATTTTTAAGCAGGGTTGGTTTATACATTGTCCCTGTCCATGTTTTCTTCTCTACAGATGGGCTCATCTTCAGACAACCTGTCCTCTCTCCCTTTTTACACCAACAGCCTTGGCCAGGATAAAACTTCTCGACTTGTCAACTTCCATTTCCTGCTGTCCTGTTTCCGCAGGGACTCCCACAAAATTGACAGTTTCCTCAAAGTTCTCCGCTGTCGGGCAGCCAAGAAGAGACCTGAGATGTGTTAGAGTGGAAATGCTGTGCTCTGCTTCTCTCAGTGTGCATGTTAAGTTAAAATGGCAGAGCTGTGAGTGATCTGAAAATCAAATGGTAAAATATGCTCTTTATTGGTTGTTTCAAAGATGTAGATATTTGATTTGCTTTCTTATAAACTTGAATAAATACCTGGACCAACATCATAGATTACTCTAATCCCAAAGATAAAAGACACCAAAAAAAATAAAAAAATAAAATTTAAAAACAGCCAGGTTATGCAAAATTTCTGTACGCAGTGATACTGTATGATGAATAAATGCATCATATATTGAAATGTTTGACTACAGTTTGATAAGACATTTGTATATGAAGTAACTAAAGTGTATTCATCAAGGAAATTATGTTGGATTGTTAACTTCTGTAATGTGATATTTAAAGATTTGCACCATTGTCAATAAATTTCTACCATGCAGATTTATATTGACTCGTGGAAAAAAAATATATGCATGGAAAAGGACTGTGAAAAAAATTTTTCTCTACCACTTCCCACACAAATGTGAACATATACACAAAATAAGTGTGTATTATACACACACACACACACACACACACACAAAGACAGAGACAGTTTTTGTTTTATCCAGCTGTATTTACTCAGGAATGCTGCCAATTAAATAGGGTTTGTCATATAATTAAGGAAATTAGCATTATTAATTAGAAATTAGATTAACACCAATAATTTGGAGGTATCTGTAAGTTTTCTCTAATTTGAGTTCTTTTTCAAATCACATTTAAGTTTTTTTATACTGTTCTTCAGAATAGAATTAATTTATGAAATATGCTTAAATAAATTAATTTATGAAATATGCCCTTACTCCTGTTAGGATAACTTCAAAATGGACTAAGCAGTGGCATTGAAATTTAGGATACTGATCTCC